TAAACCCTATATCGGCACGTTGGTGTTCATAGTAATTCTTCTCGAAGAGCAGTGAAAGCCATGCCTGGCACACGGCCATAGCAGTGACATTTCGTACAACCCTCTAGAGCCCTGTCAAACCCTAGACCTTATCATAGGAGCGGTTTAGGGGCTTAGGGTTTAGGGTCAAGAACTGCCCCAGGAATCTTTGTCGATATTGGGCAGCAAGAACGTGGAGAGCTTTTCCGTCGTCCCACGATCTCTCACGCCCATGTCTGCGGGGGCATGCAGTTCCCTTGGCACGCAGCCAAAAAGCCCACATGGTCATAGTCCCCACCGTGGCACGGCCACCGTGGAAGTCGTGGCTGATGAGAAATACCTGTCGCTTTTGATCGACATGGACCCTTCGCACTTTTCTGGTAAAACGACGTTAGATTTTGGGTCTTTTCTTTGCATAAATTGAAGAGGCTAAGGGTGCAGACTACATATATATATATATATGTATATACATAGACATATCTATCTATCCCTATCTCTCTTTGCAGGGTTTCAGAAGTCCGCTAAGGACCTTCAACTGATCCACGCATCATCTCAGCCTGTCTTCCTTGGCAAACGTCCAGCAGATGTCTTTCCCACTGCAGAACCCGAGTCGTTGAGATTCGTACACTTTGGATCGTTTGGGATTTGATTGCAAAGTATAATCTTGGCAAGACCCTGAAGTCTACAACCCTATTTCAGCCGAAAGCCCTGCAGCCAAGGAAATCGAGCTGCTTGAACGCTACACGGCTGAAGTGCGCAACCACGTGGCAATTTGGGATACTTTCTCCCAAAGGGTCCTAGGTACTGTTATGGGGTATACTTTCCCAAATCCTAATAACAATTCCTACTTTCTACCATATAGGTACTTTGGACCCTTTGGGTTTGACTGGTCATGGGTCTTTAGACTTTAGACTTAAGACTCCAACATAGGGGCCCGGATAAATAGTAATACTGTCCTTGTCCTTGAGGTACCTTAATATAACTACCGTGGTATACCCCAAAACCCGGCTCGAATTAAGGCTTGCAGAACGCACTAAATTTGCAAGTACCTCATAGTCAGATACCTTCCCGAATACTAACCTGCATAACTATCTGCAGCCATGCTGATGTCTCCCTTATAGGTGCTGCTTTGTGTGTGTGTGTTTACCTTTTTTGGATTTCCCAAAGAGTCCTCTCGGCCCTAAACCCTAAACCCTAAACCCTAAACCCTAAACCCTAAACCCGTTTAGGATTTAGGGTTTAGGGCCTAGGGTTTCCCAAAGAGTCCTATGTGCTGTTATGGGGGGGATACGTACCTAAACCATAATCGTAAATCCTAATAGGGTTTAGGGTTTAGGGTTTAGGGGTTTAGGGTTTAGGGTTTAGGGTTTAGGGTTTAGGGTTTAGGGTAATAATATAGAAACTCTGCACGTACTATATAGGTACTTAGGACCCTCTGGGCATCCGAACCCTAACGGCACGGAACCAAAAGCCTTAAACCCTAAACCACAACGAAGGAATAACCATAGGCATGCTACTTAAGTAGGCCGTAGTAAATCCAACAAAAACCCGCAGCAAACACTGTATCCTAAACCTTTAGTCCTCAAGCCTTATCTATATCCGAAACCTCAAACCGTCCTATAAACCCCAAAATATGTCCTATTCCTAAACCCTAAACTATGTCCCACACCCCAAAGCCTAAGCCTCAAATTTGTCGAACCACCTCAACAAGGGCTCGTTTAATAAACACGGGGAAGGACCGAACAAGCAACGGGCCTTAACAAGCGCCCTGAACAAAACAATGTTAAAAGAGCCTTTCCCTTAGCATCGAACTAGCCCGAAAGCCTTTTATAATAGGGTCTTTGGGCCCAAAAGCCTTAAAATATGAGTCCTTTGAGGGTAAGGGTTTGAAAGGGCACTTTAAAAGCGCCACTTAAGTCAGAAAGTCAAAAACTCTAAACTGAAACCCCACACCTTAAAAACCCTTACAGATGCTTTCTAACGGAACCCGTAGAGGAACCCCACTTAATTAATAGCTCTGGCGACTTAGTCAAGTAGTGTTATAGTTGGGGTTCTCAGTCCCTTATACCCAGTGGAGTTTTCCTAATTCTTGGGGGTACTTAGAAATAATTTTTAATCTTTGGCTACTATAAACCCTAAGAAGCTGCTAAAATTATAATTTTTGCTAGGGGTCTAAGTTCAGTATAGAATTACCTTGAAGGGTTCCAAGTACTTGATAATCAAAGACTCCCCCAAACAGCAATGTCTGTGTAACTACCATGCGAAGCCTAAGTACTCAACCCGAAACCCCTAAACCCTCAGCCCTAAGCCCTAAACCCTAAACCCTAAGCCCTAAACCCTAAACCCCAGTATTGGGTCCTTTGGACCCTCCCGGATATACCCTCGCTTCTAGCCCTAGTTACTACGTCTGTGGGGCCCGCAGCCCTAAGCCCGAAACCTATGGACCTCAACCCTAAAGGAGCCCTCAAAGCTAAGGAGCAGGGTTTAGGGTGCAGGGTGCAGGGTGCAGGGACCTTGAAAAGGACGTGAACGAACCATGAAAGGGACGCCACCCTAAACCCTAAAACCCCAAAACCCTGAACCCTAAACCCTAAACCCCTGAACCCTAAATCCCTAAAACCCTAAAGCCTAAACAGGTAAGGGCAACTCTGCTTTGTCCTTCTCGACATTGGAGATCCACCTCGGCAGCCACGTGCAACTCCCGGAGCTTTTGAGTCTTGGCAGAAGCTCCGATATTCCTTAATATTAGGGTTGAGGGTTTTCGGGTTTTAGGGTTTAGGGTTTTTTGGGTTTAGGGTTTTAGGGTTTAGGATTTGGGGTTGAGGGTTTAGGGTTTTTAGGGTTTAGGGTTTATTAGGGTTCCTTTAAAGGTTCCTCCACAAAAGCTCTGATCTTCCTGTAGAAATACGGTTGATGATATAAATCCTGCATTACCCGTACCATAAATAGAGGCCCAAGGGACTTATTAAGTGGATTATATGTAGGGTTATAATTGGGGTATCTCCATTTAAAGTACTTATAACTCTACTTATAACCTACTTACTAAGTTTTCTGGGCTTCCAAGTAAGGGCTACTAGATGGCTTCCTTTACGTAAAGGGATCTATAAGGTACTATAAGGTTCCTTTAAACTGAACTTTAAGGGCTGCTAACCCTAAGGGTCCATGTACCCAAATAGTATATACCTTATGTATATAGGGACTTTATTCTCTTTGGGTACATGGACCCTTCGGGTAACCTTCTGTTATTACAGGATTCTAGAAGGGCTACCATAAGAGCGGCCAGATATTTTTTTGGGGGTTTAAGTTTCGGGTTGAATGTGGTGAAGGAAGTGTCCCTCTAGGGTGTTGAATTGGCGTTCTACAAGGTTTGGTAAGGATTTCGGCTTCCTTGGACACGAAACCCTTAAAGCTAAACCCTAAACCCTTAAACCCCAAACCTGAACTCTAAACCCTAAACAGCGACTCCCTCGAATATCCTTCAAGGGTCCTTTCAAAACTATAGGGGTGGCTGAAATTTGAAAGGGTTACTGCAAGGGTTGAAGCATAGAACAATATATCAGAAGTAGTGGTAGTAGTGGTAGTAGTAGTAGTAGCATTAATAATGATAATAAGAATAACCATAAGAATAAGAGCAATAGTAGCAATAATGGGGCCGTCATAGTTCGAACGGACTTAACTTAGCGGAATCGTTAAACGAAAGCTAAAATGTGGGATCGGGACAACTGAGGACGGTGAACGGCACCATTCAGGTCGTACAGGCATCTGGAGCTCGCTATTTTTTGATGGTTTGTGAAATTCCTTTAGTCAGTTTCACAGCTCACGGTGGAAGGATTTCTGGTGACACGACTGACAGTGACTATGTGTCTGTGACTTTCTGAAATCTTGCTGTTGGCACGGTGTACAGCAACAGCGTGCCTGCGCACAGGGGTTCCGAGGATTAAGACAGAAGAGGTGGGCTCTTAGGGTAATATAGGGGCCTAAATGTTCAATACTATTTTGGGGGGGCTCCTTAGTATAATCATAGTAGAAGGAGCCCCAAAACCGTATTCGAGTTATTAAGGCCTCTACATTAGTGCCACTGTTAGTATGGTGCAGGACATCGGGGCTTCTACTTGAAGCCTCCTCTCCTGCGCAACGCTAAACCCCAAACCCCAAACCTACGTGACAAAAGTATATAAATCCTGCATTACCTTGAGGACTCTAAACTATGGGAGGTATGGTACATCCCTTATTAAGGGTAATGCAGGATTTATATCATCAACCGTACGCGACAAAAGTCTTTGGTCTTTGGGCTGTGTTAGAAGCGTTCCAAGCCTACAGCCCCAGACGAAAAGCGAGAAGCTCTTGACTGATACCCAGAAGTCACCAAGCCCTACAGCAGACCTTAAACTAAACCATCCCTAAACCCTAAACCCTAAACTCCCAATGTGCTACTTCATCTCCTGGCCTATAATGGGCCTTGTCTGACCGTGAACGGTTCTGGACGCGGACACCAAAAAGGAATTCAACCCTAAACCCTAAGCCTAAACCTAAACTCGCCGACATTTAGGCTTCAATCCTGTGCCCTAAAACCTAAACCCCTAAACCCTAAACCCCTAAACAGTAAACCCCAAACCCCTAAGCCCCAAACCCCAAACCCGAAACTTCACTGAGGGGTTCAGGGCTGTTAGGTATTTTGAGGATCCGGGGCTCCCAGGCCCGAGGCTGTGAGGTGCATAAATCTAGCAGAACGTAGGGTTTCAGGGTTTAGGGTTTAGGGGTTGAAGGTTTAGGGTTTAGGGGTTTAGGGTTGAGGGTTTTCTGATTTGGGATTGTAGGGTTTCTATAGTACCCTTGGGCTCCAAGGACTTGTATTCTAAGGCTTTTGGGCCCAAAGACCACACTATATAAGGCTTTTGGGCTATTTTGAGCCTTAGGGGTAATAGTAGGAATTACGTTTGTGATTTGGGAAGGTATCCCCCATAACAATACCTAGGACCCTTTTGTGTAGCTTGGGTTTAAAGTTGCGGGCTGTGTGGCTGCGCGCGGGTCATGTGGCATTGCATCCTTTGACAAAGCCCACATCTTTTGTTTTTTTACGGGATTTTCGCATGGTAAAGTAATGCCTATGTAGGGATGTAGCTTTTTCGGGATTTTTGCATGGTCTAGTATTGCCCCCCTACATGAGGAATGTAGCTTGGACTACATTGGGCTGGTTGTTGTGATTCAAGGTGTTATCCGCACTGGGCTCCGATAACGATGAAACAGTCGATGGCGACTTATAAGCGTGACCCTAAGGGTTTAGGGTTTAGGGTTTCGGGTTTCGAGTTTAGGGTTTAGGGGTCCATGTACCTAGCTAGTCTATACTTTGGTCCCAAAGTATTTATATAGGGACTACCGTAAGGCCAAAGTATATACTATTTGGGTACCATGGACACTTCGGGCCTTAGGGTGATGGGCCGGATGACCATGATGGCAAAGATGCTCATGTGGATGTTTTTGAGAAGGGTTGCTTGGAGGCCCAGGGGACTTAGTAAAGCGGTTATAAGTAGGGTTATAATTGGGGTAACTGCATTTAGAGTACTTTTATCTCTACTTGTAACCTACTTACTAAGTCCTCTGGGCCTCCAAGTGATAGTGACTCGATGATCAAGATGCCATTGTAAACGTTTTCGGTGATGAAGGCCGGCGCTCCAAAACCCCTCGATGAAGGATTCCACCTCAGGTGGGCAATGGGCCTCTTATGATCTAACAGCTACAAGTGACAATTGCTTACAACATGGTGTTCGGAGTTTCTGGGCATCCCCACATTCCTCAAACTTGCATTCCTAGACAACTCAGCCCTAAACGATAAACCTTGCAATTCTAAACCTGCCCCCAGAGAGCCCAACACGGCCTGACTAAGGAATAGACCTGAAATCATAATACCAAGGCTCCTATAGTTCGAGGCATATTCCTCAATAGGGGAGCATGGTGCTTTCTGTCGCTGCTGCCAAAGGGCTCAGGATCGTCGCCGTTTCCCCTCTGCCCCTGCCCCGCGATGCTGCGTGTTTGTAAGATCTCTGGGCAGGAGGTGCTCAAAATGCGCATGGAGGAGCCTGGACCCTAAACCCCTAAACCCCAAAACCCTAAAACCCTAAACCCTAAACCCTAAACCCTGAACCCCCTAAACCCGGAGCCTGGACCCGAGTTACGGGGGCTTCGGGCTTTGCAGAATATCTCAAGAACCCTAGATCTTCATCCCTCAGCCCTACTTAGAGGGTCAGGGGACTTAGTAAAACGGGGATATAAGTATGGTGATAAATTAGGGTAGCTCCATTTAGGGTACTTATAACTCTGCTTATAACCTACTTACTAAGTCCGCAGGGCCTCCAAGTACTATGGTGCCCTAAATGGGAGTTTCCGAAACTTAGGGTACCTTATTTTGGGGTCCTTATAATAAGGATCCTACTATTTAGGGTATATTAGAGTCCCCTATTATGGGAAACCCCCAAATATAAGTAGATTGTCAGGCGCCTGATGTGAGCGCGCAAGTTTCAGATGCAGGGAGTGCAGCCCCGGCCACGGGTTTGGTATTGGGGTTCAGGGTTTAGGGTATCCGGGTTTAGGGTTTAAGATGCTCACTGCGACAAGTGAGTAAAGCAACATGTTTAGCTTCTCTGGCAGGAGCCGACTGTGAAGCTTTCGATCCAGGTTGCATCCCCCACATCATGGGACTGGCGCTGGTGGCTGTAGCGTGGGAGATTAGAGCAATTGTCCTGTCATCTTCAGAGCAATCTCGGCCAGCGTCATCCTAATGCATCATCTTCATCTACATCAACATGTCTAGCATATCTACATGCTCAGCACTATCATCTGTTGTTTGAACATTGCAACGTTTGTAAGCTTCCGGGTCGGTAGCAGAGTGTGGAAACTCCTGGCTGTGCTCCCTGCTCCCCCATGGACCATGCATAGGCGTGGATATTGCGTGTTTGTTGAGTTGGTGTTGCTCTGTGTGCGAGTCCTGTGTTCTGTAGTGGGAAGCGGTGGGCGGGCGGGGAGGGGATGTACGTACGTATATTCATACGTCGGTACAGACATGTATGCATTCGGATATGCATGCATGTACCCATACATTCACAAATACATGAAGATAGACAGGTACATGTGTATGTGTCATATTATATATATATATATATGCATGTATTTATCTATTTATCTCCGCATTTTTATGCATGTAGACATATACTTATGTAAGTTCGTAAGCACAAATCAATATGTATGCATGCATGTATGCAAGTGAGTGAACATGTCAGTACGCCTGCATGTACAAATTTGCATTTATGCATGTGTATACATATACATATATATATATACACTTATGTACATACATACATACATACATACATACATACATACATACATACATACATACATATAGACATACATACATACATACATACATACATACATACATACGTACATACATACATACATACATACAAACATACGTAGCAGTCGTCGTCGTCTTGGTCGCATCGTCGTCGTCGTCGTGGTCGTAGTAGTAGTAGTCGTCGTCGTCGTCGTCGTAGTAATTAGTATAGTAGTCGTTGCAGTAGGAGTAGGAGTAGTTACTTCTATAATGCTTGTGTTCTAAGTATGGGTTAGTAGTAGCATTGCGAATGACCGCACTAGTGATAGCAGTAGTACTCAGAAGAAAGTTCGCAACAACAGTAAACACGTCAGTACTAGCAGTAACGGTGCACATGATATGAGTAATAACAACGGTATTAAATAGCAATAAAAAGCGAAGAGTAATAATCATTATAGTAATAATACTAATAGCCTTAAAATCGTAGTAATGACAATTCTAATTTTTGCAATAATTTTTTCAATGCAAACGTGAATAAGCATATTAGACAATGAACAACAATAGTTTTTGCACCGTACAGCATACAACACAGACATATATATATATATAAATTGTCATATACACATGCGTATGTATATATATATATATTTCTTGTCCCGTTCTTGAAAATCCGAAGCCCTAAAAACTCCCAACTCCTTGTGCGGCGAGGAGTTCCACCAGATGACGGAGCAGAAGAGCAGCCCCGTACGCTTTCTGAAGCGAGAGCTTCAGGCATTGCGCCTCGCTGCCACTGCGGTCCAGGGGTTTGCGGGGCTTAGTTCTAGGGCCTGCCATGTTTTCAGGGCTTTAGGGTTGAGGGTTTTGTATTTGATTCTAAAATGTTCAGTAGTATCTTTTTTTTACTTTTTGCGGGTATTGGTTCCTAATATATTATAGCTAACCGCAAAAAGTATATACTTTTTCCCAGTTGGTTGCTGAACAGCTTAGTGGGTGTATTTGGTTTTACAGAACTAGGTTTGGTGGTCTCGGAGGAGGCTAAACCAGTGAAGTAGGATTTTCAGGATTTGGGGGGCTTGAGATCTAGGATTGGGGGGTTGGGCTGTGTTTTGGTTTTGGGGTGCCCGCACACACACACACACACCCTAAACCGTGAACCCTAAACCGTAAACCCTAAACCAGGTGTGGCACCCCACGGTTTCGACAGCGGCTGCTCTTGGAAAATGGCCTCCCCCTGGAGGAGGTCGCCGCCTTTCTTGGGGCTGTCGGAGTGAGGGTTTCGGGATATACATATAGGGCTTATAGGGTTTAGGGTTTAGGGTTTGGGGCTTATACGGTTTAGGGTTTAGGGGTTTAGGGTTTAGGGTTTAGGGTTTAGTAATATATATATATATATATATACTAGGGTCCTGAGTAGTACCCTTTTGCCCTTTTGATTGTACGGCTCCCTTGTTAAAACTGCATAACGGGAAAAAGGGTACCCTTATTGTTAAGGGGTCACTCAGGAGCCTAGTACGTATATATATATATATATAAATAGGGCCGGAAAGAGTTACTAAAATCGTTCCTCGGGGTTTCTGGACTAAATGTGATCGTGGCATAATGTAAGCCCGAATCCCTCTTCTAACTCTTAAGCCTTAAGGCCCCTATAAAATTTGAATGAGGTTCTGGATATTAGGAATTCTTAAGGTTCCTATATTATGAATGAGGCTCTGGATATTTAGGGCTCTGGGACCGGGGAGCCGGAGCAGGATATGGCCGTCGAGACATCTGCCGACTTGCAGCTGATCTTGCTTCCTGACTGCAGCCCTGTGCAAGCTGTGTTAGGGTTTAGGGTTTAGGGGTTTAGGGGTTTAGGGGTTTAGGGGATTGGGGTTTAGGGCCCGGAAGGATCTAGAAAGTAGATCTCCCCTAATTCAGAACCTTATACTGATACTAAGGGGTATCTAATAGGAAAGTAGCTCCCCTAATTTAGAACCCTACACTACTAAGGAGTACTTAATAGGACCCCCCTTCCCCTTCAGGGGATCTACTTTTGGGATCATTCCGCGAGGGGGGTCTTCGTAAGGCTTAGGGTTAAGCATCCCGGGGTTTGCCGAATTCAGGGGTGAGAGGGGTGAGATGGTTGCTGCGGGTTTAGGGTTTAGGGGGGTTTAGGGTTTAGGGTTTAGGGTTATGTTGGTGCACCGCAAACCGTTTAGGGTTTAGGGTTTAGGGGGGTTTAGGGTTTAGGGTTTAGGGTTCGGGCACCGCAAACCCCACTTCTTACATCCTAGCCCTAGACCCTACAACCTTTTAAAACTCGAGTATACCCATAGGCTCCATAGTAGTTCCATTTTGTGGTTCATATATGGGATCCTATAAGGTAACCCCAAAAAAGAACTATTATGGAGCCTATGTGTAGGGGTCTTGTGTCGAGCTTCATGGTTTTCGCCTGTCGGGCCGAAGCGAGGGGGGGGAAGACAGAGAGCGACAGAGAGAGTTTAGGGCCTAGGATTCAGGTTTTGGGCCATTGGGGGTTTAAGATTTAGGGTTTAAGATTAGGGTTCAAGGTTTAGAGTTTCAGGATTAGGGTTTCAGGGTACATGACGAAAGAAGGCAGAAATCCATATACGTGCCATGACCCTGCACGTTGCATACAAGCAACACCCCTGCCCTCGAACCCTAAGCTTGCCCTAAACCAAACCACATTTTCGCATTGGGGCTTGCTCGAAGCTTGCAGCAACTTTCTTGCTTGTGAAAGAGAGAGTGACGGCACACGGACCCTTCAAATCAGAGTGAACAACATATTCCTCAATCCAACCCTAAACCCTAAATCCTAACCCTAAATCCTAAAGCTTAAACCCTAAACTAAAAATCCGAAACCCTAAACCCTAAATCCTAAACCTTAAACCCTAAAGTAAAAATCCGAAACCCTAAACCGTAGACTCTATAGCCGTAAACCCTGAATCCTAACGGACCCTTGCAAAGATCAAGGCTCGGATTTCCAGCGGCACAGCCGAGAGATGCGGACGAACTGGTGTTCCGTCTTTCTGAGGTTTAGGGTTTAGGGTTTAGGATTTAAGGGTTTAGGGTTTAGGGTTTAGGATTTCAGGGTTTAGGGTTTAGGGTTTAGGGTCTCCATAAGGGCACCTGAAATCAATATTGTAGTTGCTTTTTGGTTTGGCCCCTTCCTTTTTTGTTCAGGGTCCTATACAAGGTAACCCTAGACCCTAAACCCAAAAAGGGACTGCGATGGAGACTATAGGCAGATTCAGACAGGTCATCCTCAAGCCGAAACACTACGTCAACCTAAGGCAGTTTAGGTAGTATTATTAGAGGTTCTGAACCCTACTTTTGGCTCTCTTAAAGGGACCTTACTTAGAGGGTCTATATCCCCAAGGGTCCCCCTAATCCTAGCTCCCACAGTTGCAGCTTCAGGCTTCCACCCGAAGTTTTAGGATGCCCATGTTTAGGGTTTAGGGTTTAGGGGTTTAGGGGTTTAGGGTTTAGGGGTTTAGGGTTTAGGGTTTAGTAATTTAGGGTTTAGGGTTTAGTAATTTAGGGTTTAGGGGTTAGGGTTTAGGGGTTTAGGGTTTAGGGTTTAGGGCCCCCCGAGCCCTCTTTGATCCCTGACAGGACCCTGCAAGGGCCCTTTAATAGAGCCCTGACTTAGGGTACATTAGAGGGTAGTTGGGGGGTCTAGGTAGCTCTAAACCTTAAATCCGTAAATCCTAAAACCAGAAGCCCAAAGACGCTGCACCCTACTTAAAGCCCCAACCATCCCACATCCATGAACCCGAGATCTCACGAAACACCCGACAATAGAGCCCCAGCAAAATTGGGGTGTAGCCTTTATGGGGCCTTGGGTTTTTAGGGTTCATTGGTTTAGGGTTCAGGGTCTGGTAAATTTTACAAACCCTGATCTAAAACCCCCAATCCCCACTGGTCCCTTTTAGGGTCCTTTTTTTAAGGGTGCCGTACTATATTGAGGACCCAAAAAGGGACCCTAATTGAGAGAATTACCCACATACTGACTGCAACCTTGAGCCTTTGCCCTTCGCCCGGAGGACCACGACTTCGGCACATGCTGTAGAGCTTAGAAAAGATCATACGCAGGACCCATATTCTAAGGCTTTTGGGCCCAAACACCATGCTATATGAGGGTGTTGGGCTAGTTTGAGCCTTAGGGTCATGAACCCTAGTCATTCGATGAGCTTAGAAGCAGGCATGGCAGGTTTTGGGCCTATGGGTTTAGGCAGGATGGCAAGCTTACCGCATTGAAAGGACAAGGATGGGAGCTTGAATAACTAGTGAATACAAGCAATACTCTTCCGCCGGGTTTCTCAATCTATGTTTAGGGTTTAGGGTTTAAGGGTTTGAGGGTTTAGGGTTTAGGGTTAGAGCCTCATTGTGACTACTGAGGCCCCGATATTGACCTTCACGCCCAGGTTCAGGCGGTGTACTTGGACAAAGTCTCCAAGGTCGAATCGATCCTATATCGCCCACAAGTGCCAAAGCTGTACGAGTCTGAGGTTTCAAGCACCCAATAATCAGATACTTCCGCAAGTATTAGCCTGCAGCACTACTACCCAAATGAGGGTCCAAAGGATTGGGTTCAGAGTACTAGTTTTGTAAGCTGGTTCTTGGGAGAGTATGTGATTATTCCGTACCTGGACCGTCAGGGCTTTGCAATAGGCGTTTCAGGGGTTGGTAAGTGGCTAGTGGCTAGTGGACTCCCATCTCCAACTTCCAACATCAGTTGGAGCTTACCTGTAGTCTCCATTGTAGTTCCTTTTGGGGGGTACCTTATAAAATCCTTAATATATATTTGGTTAAACCAAAAAAAGGAACTACAATGGGAGACTATAGGTAGGGCCATAGTCTCGTATGCTTCTGTTTGGGCTAGCCTTGTTCTCTGGGCCTGACGGGAAAGATCCTTGTGCAGGCCGTAGGTTTGCAAGAGACACCGAGGGGCCCGAAATGGCCCGAAGCACAAGCCTTGAGGTGCTAGCTCCTATAGGACCCAAGGGCCATATGGTATCAGCATTTGGGTTCAAGGAGCGGGTGTAGCATTTCCTGACCGGTCGCTCAACTACGTCCCCTGAACCCCAATTACCAGTAAGATCCATCACCCTAAACCCTAAACCCTAAACCCCTAAACCCTAAACCCTCGCCGCAAAAATGACAGCAAGACGTGACTTTCAATGGTTAGCGAGACCTCGGCGTGAAGTACAAAGTGAGCAGATCTTCCACAAACCTCTCATCCCAAACCCTAGACCCTACACCCTAGACCCTAAACCCTACACCCTAAACCCCACACCCTAAACCCTAAACTTAACCCTAAATTCTCAGGTCTACATTACCCCCTGCCAGGATTCAGATTCCGGAACCCAGTCCCTGCTGTTCCGGGTTTAGGGTGTTAGGGGTCTAGGGTCTACCTGGGCCCCAAACACCCTACCTTTTTAGGGCTCCTTGTTATGTTTTCCTTTTGAAGTCCTTGAAAATTAGGGCTGGTTACTATGTTTTCTTAAAAAAAAGTCCTTGAAAAGGTAGGTTCTTTGGGGTCTAGGTAGACCTTCTTCAGGACTTGTATAAGGAGATCATAATAAGGAGCCCTGAAAAGGTAGGTTCTGTAGGGTCCAGCTCCCTAGCCAGAGGTCTAGACCCTAGGCACGCGCAAAACAAGCCAAGAGACAAAGCAACAGCACAGGACAGACAACAACACGCTTCAGGAATAGCGCCAAGCCCTAAACCCTAAGCCCTAAACCCCAGATATCTAAACCCTAAATAAACCCTAAAGCCTAAGCCCTGAACTGCCAAGGACCCGAACCAGTTGTCCCATGGGCGGACACCTTTGATGGCCGCCATTAGTACTGGCTCCATGCATGCTGCAGCTTTGCTGCTGGAGGCTGACGGGGGTATAGCAGGGTTTAGAGCTTTGGGTTTTGAGGTTGGGTTTATATTTGGGTTCAGAGTTTTAGGCTTAGGGTTTAGAGTTTGGGGCTTTCGAGGTGCTGAACATTGGGGATTCTCTCCGGGGGTGTTCGTAAAGTATCCAAGAGGTCGAGGGCTTGAATCATAGGCCCCGTGTATGTTAGAAGGATGAAAACTTAGAGTATCTGTCTTAGGGCTAGGGTTTAGGGTTGGGGGTTTAGGGTTTATAATAGACAGACCTGCCATGGGCAAGGGGCGCCCTGGTAGCATGTGGAAGCCATCACGGATGTCGCAGCTCTAGCCGAGACCCTAAACTCAAACCCCGTGGTATCAGTGAGATGACTTTGCTTTTTGAGACGACTTGCTGGGACAGGGTGGGCCGTTGGAGGCAGATCGGCTGCCACATGAAAAACATGTGGGCGAGGGAGCTTGCCTGAAACCCCATAGTGTAAGATTTCTTGAGCCGTAATCCCTAAACCCCAAACCGTCAACACCCTGAGCTACATCCTGTGCTGAGATGAGACGCAAGGACACGAGAGCCAATTTCCAGGCGGTCTAGGCAGCAAAACTTTCCACGTATGTATATATATATATGCACGACTATTATGGAATTAGGTCCTCCAAAACCATGAACAGAATGGTCTTTGGGGTCTAACTCCATAATCGTAGTGTCTATGGACCCTCTGGGTTGTTAGTTTCATTGAGACTATGAAACTATTTGGTCTTCACCATCCGCGATGTCCTGACCATCACTGTCACATATTATATCCACCTGGTCCTGATTTTCCAAGTCTTCAGCCTTGGCCATCTCATACCCCTTGACATATCCGTATGATCTTAACGAATTCGATTGAGATCGACGTCCACCCACCGAGCTACCTAAGCAGATTGCCAGAAAAGAAAAACACTCGCTAGGGTTGATATTCGTTGAAATCAGTGTCTCAACGAAGGCGATGGCAGACCCGGACATAAAAAGCTCGGCGGGCCATTCGGCGCTGCAGCTTGCGCGATCCGACCGAAACCCAAAGTTTCGTAGGTTTTCAGGAAGGGGATAGAGGCAATATCGTAGCCAGTCGCTTCCGTGAGCAAGTCCATGCAGATGCGAGATTCGTGATGCCGGGTCATGATTGAAGGTTTAGGAGCGGAAGAGTTGCAGAATTGGGGTAGGATGTGTTTGAGCTTGATGCTGATGGAACCAAGGCTGTGATGTTGAACATTGCCTTTTCAGTTAATCCCGACTCCTGACAGTTGCTCCGTCGCGCTCCTTGTGTTTCGTTTACTTCCGAACTCTGTCGCCGCCTTGGCTTCCTCGGAACATGTTCTCCCTCTCCCTTGTGCTGGGACCCAAGAGCCTACTGTAGAAATCACGGAAATCGCTGGCTTCAACCAGTTGGATAGAGTTTTGGGGTATATGGCTTGCTTTGAGAGGATGACTATATACGGACTACAAGGGGTTATGATTCAATTAATTCCTCAGGCCTCGATAGTTGCTTCCACTTCTGGTCTGCTGTGCAGTTGTTGCGATCCTAAACCTACCTTTAAGGCCGACATGTACACTAAAAGGGTTTAAGGTTCAGGTACCATATTTTGGAGTGTTTATTATAACGGAACCCTTAGAGGAACCCGTTGAGGGCCAACCCATGTTTTCAAGGGCCAGTCCCTCCTAAGGTAGACTGTACCGAGATCTTTAAATGTAGTACCTTTTATTGGATGACTTGTTTTATGGTTAGGATCCTATATTCAAAAAACTAAGGCAACCAAAAAAACTGTTTTACATGTCATGGTCTACGTAGATTTTGAGAAGCTGGCTACATGGAAACACAAAGATGTGCGCGCAAATCCGAAGAGTTCCCCAAGTGCTCCACCCTATGGGTCCAAAGGAACCAATCATCAGGTACTTGGGTTTAGGATAGTAGGCTTGTTGCAGGTTAACCCTACACCCTAAACCCTAACCCCTAAACTCTAAACCCTAAACCCTAAAGCCGAGACCCTAAACCCTGAACCCTGACCCTGGGCTTGTTTTTTTTGTTTTTTTGGAGGTTTAGGGTGTAGGCTTTGGGGTTTAGAGCAATATAGGGGCCTTGAGAATTAGAATAGGATTTTGGGGTAGGTTGTGCTAAAACTATAATGATACGGAGCCACCAAAATAGTATTGGTAATTGATTAGGCCCCTACATTAAGCCCTAAACCCTAAACCCTCAAACCCTAAACCCTCAAACACTCAAACCCTAAACCCCAAACCCTCAAACCCTAAACCCTAAACCCTCAAACCCTAAACCCTAAGCCCTAAACCCTAAACCCTCAAACCCCAACCCCCTTAAGACCCCAAAACCCAAAACCCTCTCTAGAGGGCCTGAGGGAGCCACAGTTCCCGGGGACCCCACAGCAACAAAAGGTACCCAGACCTTCCAGTATCCCGTAAGTAAACCCTAATTAACCCCTAAAAGAAACAAACCCTAAACCCTAAACCCTAAACTCACATTAGGAGTCTTACTATGTCACACTAGGGATTAGGGATCTTACTATAATTTCCAGTGTCCCTGACCCTAAGGCTCAAAACAGCCCTCTGAGTGGGAGTTAATTGAGGTGTGCTGAAGGCCAGTTGGAGATCGCGCGCCTGCTGATCCAGGCTTGATTGGGGCTTCCCTTTGAGATGAAAGTGGGTTGTCATATAGAAGCCTCAACCCTAAACCCTAAACCTATTATTCCTTAGGGTTCCCTATGATGATTAATTATACTGTAATAAAGGAGCCCAAAGCCCTATTCTAATTATCAAGGCTCCTACATTATCGGAGTGCGGTTTGGCACTTTAGCTGCATGGTTGGGATAGGACCTTATTGGGGTTCAGGGTTCAGGGTTAGGGTTAGGGCTTACATAGGGTTCAGGGTTTTGGTTTCTTTCATTTTCTTGTGTAGGGTCTGCCAAGATATAATTTGAACGGGGCCCTATGTGGCATGCTAGTTTTTGCAGGCTGTTTTGCCATTTTACTTCAGGTTCGAGTGTTCCCTAGCAGCGTTTGCGATGCTTCCTTGAGGCGTTATGGAGAGGTGTACTGGTATGGTCTTGGAATTACCTGGAGAGGTCCAAGGTAGTTCCTTCCTCTTTTCACCAGCTTTATATCTAGGATCCCATAACGGTAGCCGCTAAAGTCCTAAAATAAATTACAACGTTTATATTGACATTATGAGACTCCTGTGGGTATACAATGGTTTTGTGTTTTGGACCCAGCAACCCTAAACCCTAAGCCATAGAAACCCTAAGCCCTAAACCCTAAACCCTAATTCCTGCATCCTAAACCCTAACACAAACCATCCAAAACCTGAAAACTGAATTGCAGACTGTAGGAGTCGAATAAGTAATCTTCATATTTCTTACTTATGGCTCCGTTCCAATATGGTATAATCATGCCCCCACACGCTCTTCTAGTTCCATATGGCGCCTAAAGGATAGAACTTCTACAGATCATGTAAAGCTCCCTCGAAGGAGCCCGTAAACGAACCCGTTCTCTGATCCAGTACGGCCCCTGCTTCAAACTTCCTGCGCCCTCCGAGCTGCACGCCGTAATCGCAAACCCTAGCTGGTGTAGGGGCCTCGATTCAACAATTGCAATAATGCTGTTTCTGACGGTTTAGTGCAGGTGTCCGGACATATGGTCCAAGAACCTGAATCCTACACTCTGGACATCTCTAAACCCTAAACTTGAAACCCAAAGCCCCCGTAAGCCCTGTAAATCCCAAGCCCTAGTCAAGTCCGATATCTTGAACCCTAAACCCTAAACCCTAAACCCTCAAATCTCTCCACAGCTCTTGTATCCTTGAGACGGCCCACTCCAAAGCTCTTGTCCCAGCACGGAATGATAGGGTCTAGGGTTTAGGGCTTCCGCACTCAGTAGTATCGTAATTAAGCGACCGTTATAATTCTTAAGTTGCAAGCTGGTTTAAGTCCGTCCGATGGTGTTGTGAGTATTTGGCAAGTGAGCTTTTCAGACAAATGAAGCACCTGAGCCCCACTGGTTTAGGGTGTAGGGTTCAGGGTTTAGGGTCATCGGCCCTACCTAAACTCCCCAAAGTAGGTAAAATAATGGCCCGAAACCCAGAAAGGGCTATTTTTTTATATACTTCTGGGGTCCAGGTAATCATCCCGAAACCCAAAACCCAAAGGGCTTGGGGTTTGATTACCATGGTTTCCTTGCAGAAGTCCTTTAAAGGGTAAGTTCTCTGGGGTGAAGGCATGGCATATCATGCAGCTTCCTTCCTTCCCCTAACGACTTCCCGGCATTTTGTTTGAAATGTTCAACCAGCTGAGGCCCTAAGGCTATGGTCTTTCGGCCCAAAAGCCGTAAAACATGAGTCCTTCGAGCCTCAGGGTAGGAAACCCTAAACCCCAAACCTGGGTCCTTGTTGGATACAATTTGGCATTTTTGTTATAATGAAAGCCACTAAGGATTAAAAATCATCATGTTTAATGCAGCCCCAACAGGGAACCAGAATCCCTAACCCTTAAACCCTACCCTAAGGCTCTAAGGACTCATATTTTAAGGCTTTTGGGCGCAACGACCATACTGTACAAGGCTTTTGGGCTTGTTTGAGCCTTAGGGCTATATGAGTCCTTAGAGCCATAGGGTTCCCCCAGTAAACAAAACCCGTGACAGCAAAGCAACCTAAGAGATCCGACACTCTCCAAGCCTTGATTCTGAACTCGACATAACCCCGACGGTCCATTTATTTAGGGTTTAATTAGGGTTTAGGGCTCAATTAGGGTTTAGGGGTTAATTAGGGTTTAGGGTTTAGTTAGGGTTTAGGGTTTAGTTGGTTAGGGTTTAGGGTTTAGGGTTTTACTATGATGGAATTAGGTCCCGAAACCCATGGTATTTGTTGGGGCATTATTCCGTTACTGTCGTATATATGGACTCTCTGAGTTAATAATATTTTAAACTGCAAGCCGTCAACTTTGCCGATATTTCATGTACTTTGGCCATCAAGTAGTCCCTGTGCAGGTACTTTAGGGCCAAAGCATATACTATTTGGGCACATGGATCCGTGGGGAATCATTGAACCAATAACCTCAACCCTGAACAAGCACACGTGCTCGCACCCACACACACACACACACACACACATACACACACACACACCCACCCACACACACACACACACGCACACACACACACACACCCACACGCACACACGCACACACGCACACACGCACACATACACACACACACACACACACACACGGAAGCGTCATCCCAACATCAGGCTGGTGCCAAAGAGCACCAAAGCAGCCGATCGTCGATCTTATCTGAAGCCGCCGTGCACCTCGGTCCTGTATGTTAGGAACATTTTTTTTATGCAGTTCTACAGATTCGGGTCCCATTTTTGGTCCACAACATAGTACGGCATCCCTAAAAACAACAAGATTCAGCAAGGGAGCCTAACTCAGAGAAACATCCATGTAGGGTCCTTAAAGATACCGGGTATGCAGTACGCCTAAGGGTGTTCCTTTGTCGGTTCCACCGGTCTAGTCGTGGTCGTGATGGTGCAGGACCCAAGCGGTCCTAGCACTCTTCCAGGGTTTAGGGTTTAGGGTTTAGGGTTTAGGGTTTAGGGTTTAGGGGATAATAGTAATTCCTAGTACCTATAGAAATAGAAACCCTACATAGCCTACATTATACCACATGCAGTTGGGTGTTGTCGTCGTACTCGTACTGCCGTGTTGCACGAGACCTATAGGGTCATAGCTTGCCCCTTTTTCATGGTATCTAAATTTTATATAGCAGGTTCTGACCATAAAACCAGGCACCCTAAACCCTAAACCCTAACCTCAAAACTGAGCACCCGAAAAATGGTGTAGAGCGGGTAGAGTATGCCCCTTTCCGGATGGTTCCTATCGCTACTCCTGCACAGCACCTTCACCTTCAAGACTTTTTGAGCCCTGAAGAAAAAGTTTCCCTTTAATTCTACTATTACTACACCCCGAACGGCCCCGAATGCATTCGAACTATCAGTGCTCCCTATCTGATTTCCCCGGTACTGTTGATGGACAAAATTCTGCATGACCCAAATATAGTATAGTACCATAAATCCCATAGTTTAGGTATATAAAGTCATGCAGGATTTTGTCCATCAACAGTACCGGGGAAATCAGATAGGGGGCCGTATGTCACAGAGGCGGGGCGACCTGGAAATGGTGCGCGCCTTGCTGGAGAATCAAGCGTATGTGCGTTCCGGCAGCTTCGATGCTTTGCAGCTGGCTGTTGAGATTCTTGGCCTTTTAGGGGGTTTAGGGTTTATGGTTTAGGGGGTTTAGGTTTAGGGGTTTGGGGGTTCAGGGTTTAGGGGCTCTTGATTCCGGCAACTACCTGTAGTCTCCATTGTAGTTCCTTTTTTTGGTTTAACCAATTCTATATTCCCAGAGGATCCAATACACTACCATTATGGAATTAGGTCCCAAAAAACAATCCCTACTATGGTTTTGGGGACCTAATTCCATAATAGTAGTATATATGGACCCTCTGGGTAATCTATTCTTTGCCGATAGCATCCGCCCCTGCACCCCTTGAGACCCCCCCCCGCAAGGTTACATACCTATATGGGTAGTTTCCGAAAATTAGGGTACCTTATTTGGGGGTCCTTATAATAAGGATCCTATTATTTAGGGTACTATATTAAGGTCCCCTATTTTCGGAAACCCCTATATTTCCGCGTACGTAAGGAATGGCTTTGCTGACATCGTCGAGCTGCTTTTAGCCTTCCAGGCTGACACAGAGTCGACATCTCTGTCGGCCTTTCGCCGAACATGTCTACACAGCGCTGCCACTCGGGGATTTCTGGATGTTGCGAGACTGCTGCTCAAGGCAAAAGCAGATAAGGATCGGACCGATATGAATGGAAACAGCGCGCTGGCCTTGGCAGCCGGCGAAGGACAAGCTGAGGTCGTTTCTTTGCTGCTGAAGGCGGCTGCTGCAAAGGACAACACCAACGTGGAAGGGCAGACACCACTCTTCCGCGCCTGCATGCAAGGCCAAGATGATGTTGCAGGCATGCTGCTTCATGCAGGTGCCGACCGAGACAAATGTGATCTTGCAGGAGACACGCCCCTGATTATTGCCTGTAAGTGGAACAACATGGACATAGTACGCCTTCTGCTGGCCGCCGGGGCAAGCGCAGACGTGCCCAACCGGGAATGCCAGACGCCCCTTATCGTCGCATCGATGCGCGATCACCGATGTATTTCGCATCTTCTGCTGCTGTCGAACGCGGACACCGACAGCGGTGACTTGGTAGCGGAGTGTTTTGACCTTCGACCTTTTCGGTGGCACGAGAACTGCTATAGACTCCCAAAGGTGAATCTGTAGTTCGCCCTAAAAAAAGCCCTAAACCCTGAACCTCTAAACCATGAACCCTAAACCCTAAACCCTAAAAGCTGGACAAGTCAGGCGATAATGATGGTCTTACGCCTCTCATCCTCGCAGCCGAAGCCGGCCACATGCAAATTGCGCAGATGTTGCTGCAGTTCAAGGCGAGAACGACCCACCTGGAACCCATATGGGTAGTTCAGTTCTCTAAATTAGGGTCCCTTTTTTAGGTCCCCAGTATAGTACGGCACCCTTATAACAAGGACCCCAAAAGGGATCCTAATTTAGACAACTAGCCCTAAACCCTAAACCCTAAACCCGAAACCCTAAACTCATATAGTACCCTCATAGAAACCCTATAGAACCCTCCAGGATCCCTTTAAGGATTCCCTAAACAAGGCAGACATCAACAAGGCCAACCATGCGAAGCAAAGCCCTCTGCGTCTGTCCCGCAACATGAGTCCTTAGGCTCACTTTTAAGGGTTTAGGGTTTCATTCCCAAAGGCTCTAAGGACTGACATTCTAAAGGCTTTTGGGCCCAAAGACCATACTATAGAAGGCTTTTGAGCTATGTTGAGCCTTAGGGGAAGGTTCTGAATCTGCAACTTGCTGCTTAGCATTTGCTTATGTATATGTATCTGTGCATATGTACATGTAAATACAGACAGGGATCTAGATTCAGGTGCAGATTTGGATATAGATGCAGATACATGCATAGACATAGGTGTAGGTATTTAATGACTTCACAGATACAGGTACAGATATTGATAGAGTCCGTGCACTCATATGTTTGTGTGAATGTATATGTGAGTACGTAGTTCAGACGTGTGGGTGTTGGATGGAATGCGTGGCACTGTTCTTATCGTCGATATGATAGTTTTACTCACTATACACGTGTGTATATCCAGGTATGCAAAGGGGTACTTGTATGTGTGTATATAAGTATATATGTTTCTATACACATATGTATCATGTATGTGTTTTGTGTATTTAGATATACATACAAAATGAGTGAAGCTTGCAGCTACACATCTTGAAATGCTTGACAAATCTGCTTCCCGAGAACAATCGCGTGTTGCGTAGTTGCGTGTCAGGTCTATCCCCTGGACTTCTGTAAACTGGGAAACCCTAAACCCTAAACGCGTTTAGGGTTTAGGGTTTAGGGTTTAGACCCTGAACCCTGCAAACCTTAAGCAACAAACCCTAAACCCTAAACAAACCCCCCATGCCCGAGATTCGCTGCCTCAGCGGGCGGGTGCTTGGAAATGTGCCGCTTGCTTTTGGACTCTGGAGCAGACCAAGAGATGCCAGACCAAAGGGGCAGAACACCTTTAGCTGTGGCTTCCGACGCTTGGTCACATCCCCTATAGGGCTCTATTAAGGGTTCCTTTTAAAGGGGTCCATTAGAGAAATTATAGGGTCACATCCCCTTAGGGTCCAAGTAGTCCTTATTTTTGGTTTTGGGTACCCATCAAGGCCCCAAAGTCCTTAAGGATCCTCTTAGTTTGCCTTAAGGGTTTAGCCATGGTTTAGGGTTTAGGGTTTAGGGTTTAGGGTTTAGAAAAGGGATCTATTCGGTCGTTTAGGGTCAAGGGTCTAGCAGTGTCTGCCGATGCATGCGCCTAACCCGTTGGCTCAAGATAACACTAAATCCTAAATCCTACACTCTAGCTTAGCGCCGAGGATTGTACATAACCTTTGACAGAAGGGTTTAGGGCTTATAGGATCGAGGGCTTCTGATTGTTCTTTGTATGTGTTATGGTACTTGGTTATGACAATGCTGCTACCACTATAGTCCATCTATAGTAGCAAAGCTGCCGAGAACCACGTCTGCGATGTGATGTGGTTTGGGTTAAGCTTAGATAGCCAATGGGAGAACTTTAAACTTTTTGGCCTTATGCATTAAGTCTATCCTAAGAAGTTTGAACTTTTTTGGGCCTGGTTCTTGAAGAAGAGAGAGGGTGTTCGGGTTTAGGGCGTAAAACCAAGCTCCAAGGAGGAAGGTCATCGCAGAGTGGCCCGCCTCTTGCAAGACCATGTTCGTGAGAAGGCGAGGTGGGAGTGGGAGTTTCCAAAAATTAGGGTACCTTATTTTGGGGTTATAAGGATCCTATTATTTAGGGTACTATGTTAGGGCCCCCTATTTTCGGAAACCCCCAGGTTGTAGCAGAGCCAGCATCGTTGCAGGCGAGGACGTGCCATAGGAGATGGAATGATCAAGTTGGCATCCTCCATGAACCCTAACCCTTGAAGCCTAAGCCCTAATCATCCCTCATCCGTAAAGGAAGCTGCAAAGGCCGGGTTTGTATAGGCGCCTTATTGATTCCCTACTATCTAATTATTCAGGGCCCTTACACTACGTATATTTCTACTTCTAGCGTGTTGGTACGTACTGTACAAGTCCCGAAGCCTCGAAAGAAGACACTCTTAACCCATGTAGGCTACTTACTCCCTTGAAGACGACATGCATCATAAAACGGGTTTAACACAGGTCCAACAGTACACCCTAAACCCTGGACCCTAAACCCTAAAATCCTAGATCCTAAACCCTAAACCCTAAATCCTAAACCCTAAACCCTGAACCTGTATAGGGTCTCAGCTGTTAAGAGCCATAGCACTGGTCCTCTAGAAAGGGCACGGAGGTTCATCTGCTGGGTTCTTGTTCACCCTTAGGCTCCAAGAAATCATATTCACATTCTAAGGCTTTTGGGCCCAAAGACCATGCTATAGAAGGCTTCTGGGCTATTTTGAGCCTTAGGGTCAGGAACTTGGTTTAAGGGGAGCTCTAGTAAAAGTTGGGGCTTCCTGACTGCATGACGGACCAAAAGCCCCGTCTACCTATAGGCTCCATTGTAGTTCCTTTTTGGGGATACCTTATAAAATCCTTAATATGTAGTTGGTTAAACCAAAACAAGGAACCACAATGGAGACTATAGGTAGTTCTAAACACTTGGGACTCTCATTGTACCCTCAGGCAGGGGTCTGTGGTCCATAATCGTAGGTATTTCTGGTCGAGTTCAGAAACCCAAAGCACTAAACCGATAGGGGTATATGGTCCCCAATCGTAGGTAGTGAGGGTCTAGTGCAAGGTAGAATGAAGTTCCAGGCCAATCCAGGGCCAGGGTTGAACTTTAGGGTTTAGGGTTTAGGAAGGGTTTAGGGTTTAGGGACACAGAAGGATTGTTCATGCCTTGGGTATTCCGTGGGGCTGCTTGTTCTGGCTTATTTGTTTGCTTCAATCCCTATATGTCTTCAGTTCAAAACACTGTACCTAAAGGGTCATAGCCTAACCCCGTTTTTTTAAACCCGTTTTTTGGATGGCCAGTTTTATACGTTTGAACCTGTTATATCTGTACCTTACAAAACGAAAAGGGGCACGGCGTGACCCTTCAGGTAGGTCCAAAATGGACCCTGGCTTTTTGCAGAATTTAGATAAGGAACGAGACCCAGGCCTAGTTTCGAGAATAAGCCCTACAGTTAAAGCCACCAGCTCATACCGTTGATGATATAAAACCTGCATTGCCTTAAGGACCCTAAAACTATATGGGAATTATGGTACAGTCCTTATTATGGGTAGTGCAGGATTTCTATCATCAACCATGTGGGCGGTAAGCGCGAATCGCATTGGTTACGTGGAATGTAGATGATCAGAACAGGTGCCCTCGACGTGACAAAAGAACATCTTTGGGCCAAGCATGAAACACAGTTTTGTTGCTTTTTAAATCTGGGAGGTGCCTTGAAAGTGTTGCCTATACCGGCGATCCTGCCAAAACCTACTGCATAGCCCAGAGTTGCAACTCCGCGCTGGACATTCTTGAAGTCTCAATGAAGGGATTGAGAAAGGAGCTGGTGAAGAGGCTTTGTAACCCTAAGGCTCCAAAGTGCTTACGTAGTATAAAGTCGGGTCCCTAAGAAAAGGTTCCTTCAAGGGTACCATAAGGGTGTAGCTTTGGGGTTTAAGATTAAAGGTACTTCGCCCGTACCTTACATAGGGAATGCTTTAAGGCCAAAGCATATGCTATACGGCTACAGAGACCCATAGGGTAACATGAAGAGCGTGGCCTTGGGTAATCTGGCTATAGCTCTGCAGCTATCAATCTCACCCAAACTTCCTAATGCTAAGTCCGGCTATGTATACGTCCAGCTCGCCAATAACCTAAACCCTAAACCCCAAGCCCTACCTGTAGCCGAACAGACCTACGTAGCCGAACAGACCTGAATTTCCATGGTTCTACATGTAGTTCCTTGAAGCGGGGCAGGTCTTTTGGGCCACAGGTAATCTATGCTCTTGTCCGCCTTGCAGGCATCTGCTTCTTCGGAGGGGCGGAAGCGTCTGAGGCGGCGATCGCCCCCGCCACAGTGGCTCGGTGCCTTACCCAATCATCTGTAGATCCGCTTCTTGTAAATAAAGGGCTTTGGAAGTGTCTATGTATAGGTGTCCCGACGGTTTGTAGTATGTTATATTTGCCCAACCACCTGTATTCTCACTTCTTTTGGATAGGGGTTCGCAGGGGTTTATGGGTTGTGTGCGGGGCTTCTTGCGGACGTACACCCGACCAACTGTACTGTAGTGAGCGGGGGGGCTT